TCGTTCGAACTCAGCTGGAATTTGTGTACCTTTCGAAGTACCACACTATGGGAACTCATTGGAAAGAGTGCAGAAGTGATTTACAAGAATTGATCCAAGGATAAGAAACTCCACCTATGAGGATAGATTGGAGAGGCTGGGACTTTTCTCTTTCAAGGGAAGAAGGCTAACAGAAAATTTGACACCAGTTTTCAAAACCATGTATAGAACAGATAGGAAGAAACCATTCCCACTGGTAAAAGGATCAAGAGAGCACAGACTTACAGTGATTTGCAAAACAAGCAAATGCGCGGGAGGCAGGTCAATTTGAGACATTCAAAAGGGCTTTGGGGAATTATTTAAATAAAATAATAGGGGAAAAAATCAGGAGAATACCATTGGGTTGTGGTACTCTGTTGGAGAGCCAATGCAGAAATGATGAGCCAAATGACCTCCTACACTGGAACACTACTTTGACTCTGCAGTCTTATATACTGCACGTAAATATATTCAGACATGGCTGTCACTGGTCAATCCAATATTTGTTGTCCATCCCTTTGTGTGTTTGAGAATGTGACAGTAAATTAAAATTGATCACAATAGAAAATGATGTGCAAAGCATAGCCATAGTCCTTTGCTTCACTACAAATGTACACAATCTAGCAAGGTTTGTTTGGTTTGCTGAATAGACTTTATCCTCTATTACATTCAGTAATGCTGAAATGTTGAGATCATGTTTTTGGGATTTAATATAAATGCATTGGTCTACAGCCTTGACAGTAATAGAAGGTTAAAAAAAGGGAAAAATAATGCACCTACTTATTTGCAGTCTGCCCATTTGAAGTGGTTTAGAAGTGTTTTCATTTCATTACTGAATGATAAAAAGTGTTAAAATGAATAATTTCTTGTCACAAAAGTATACTCTCCTTTTTGTCTTCAGTCACTTTCATTCCTGCTGTTTTGATCATTGACATAGCATAAAAAGCCTTATGTTATTGATTGCCATGGTGTCAGATCACAAAGACTTGTTGATCCATCCAGCTCCAAACTGAAGAACCGTTTCTGATAATTGCAATCACTTTCACCTGACAGGAATTGTATTACCGAGAAGAAAACCTTGAATTTGATAAGACCTCCCTTCACGTGTATATACTCACAGTTAGGCTTGCATACTTGCTCTTAAAATGACACTGATTCAAATCAAATATCTCTCACTTAATGCACATAATGCAACTACGCTTAAAGCTTATTATGCAATCCACATGATGTATACTGAGCAAAATCGCAAGATCATCTTTTGCAGTAGCAAAAGGAAATTTTGCAGAGGAAATGAGCACTTGCTTTAATGTATGAGTGTATTTCTGAAAGATCTGGTTACTTATGAATGATTCTTCCATTTGCTGAACATGACATAGAAACATCTCCTATTGCTCCATTAGAGAATGGGCTATTCCTGTCTGATTAAACTATTTTGGTTGTGAAATAATATAAAATAAACCTTTCCTGGTTTCCATCAGTTTTTCACTGTTCATCAGTAAATCAAATTGAGTCAAAGACTCCCAAGTGAATTATATCCAAACCAGACCTCTTTGACAATAATCTGTAAGTTCTTCAGTCTGACCTTTTGCTGTTGCAGTTTTCATTCGGGAGGATGTTCGTTCTGGAAAATTTCCAAATGATCATATAGGACCTTTGCAATTCAACAAAGCAACTTATAGTTATATAATGCCTTTAATAAAGGAATAGGGTAGTTAATAAGAGCATTATCGATTTAAAACAAAATTCAACACCAAGCCGCAGAAAGGGATATCTGTACAAATGATCAAACAACTTGGTCAAAGAAGTAAGTTTTAAGCAGTTTCTGACAGGAGGTGTGAGAGCTAGAAGGAGAGAATTGCTGAGCTTGGGGTCAGGGCAGATGAAAGGATGACTGACAATTGTGGAGTGATGCAAAATATGCCAGAATGGGAAGAACTCGGTGGATACTTGTAGATCTGGAGGAGATTGTAGAGATAGGTGCGATGGTATGGAGAGATTTGAAAACCAGGACGAGGATTTTAAAATTAAAGTTTTAATACAACCACTACAGGTGGCAAATTCTTTCATTTTCTTTTATTCTTTCATTGTCACTGGCAAGGACAGCATTTGTTGTCCATCCAAATTTGTCTTGAGAAAGTAGTGTTGGGCTGCTTTTTAAATCACTGCAATTCATCTGGTGTAGGTAAACTCTCAGTGCTGTTGGAAATGGAGTACTCCTAGTTGACCCAGTGACAATGAAGTAATAGTGACAGAAGTCTGGGACCAAATGGTATATAGGCTGGAGAGGGACTTCTTATCAGTAAGCAGCAATATGTCTGGTGGCATTTTTTTTGATATTTTCTGCTTTGAAGTTATTAGGGATCAGTGCGTATCATTTGGCCCTTTGCAGACATGCCAAGTTAAAATCTGCTGCTTTCCTTTGGGTTGATGTTGTAGCTGAGCAATTTGCTTTGCCAGTGCGGTGTTGCTCTCCTGGAGGCATCCTATCTCCTCAGTTATGGACAATTTTTAGCTAAGAAGAAGTTACAAATGTTAGGATTCTTCAGTAGGCGAATTCAGCGCAGCATCACAGAAGTGGTTTGTGCAAGTGCGTGAAAATATGCATTTACTGATCTCTGCTGGCTTTGTCCTGCTGGATTGACAGGACATACCCAGAAGTAATAATGGAGTGATAAGTGAATACACTTGATGTAGGTTTAAGTAGAGCTTCTTGAGAGTCGTTGGTATTGCACTTGTCAAGGCAACTGGGATCTTACATTGCATAGTGACAGAAGTGGCCAATTCATTTGATTTGATCAAAGAATAGTTGCCGGCTGTGAAAGTAGGAGATCCTTTTAATCTGAATAGGGTGCTCAGACAGAGGGATCCATAATTTAACATCTCATCTGAAAGATAGCATCCAAATAATACAATACAACACTGATCTTTACTCTAGATCATGTCTTCATGTCCATTTACCTTCTAACTCAGTTGGATACCGCCACTAGTCCATGGAAATACCCAGAGGGCCAGGTAGTGACAGAATTGGTACCTAAATGATATTATCCAGGCACTTGGCAGGTAGAAGGTGATGAGAGAATTGGAAAGAAGGGCATAAAGTGGCAGTGTGAATTTGGGATGAATGGGGAATACTATAATGTGGGTTGTGCAAATGTAAAAGAGGGTGCTATTCATTTGGCTCAGTTTTCAAAACTAGAAATTTTCCTGAGGCTCTCATACTTAACCCATCAGACTGGGGAATGGATACTGGTAAGTATAGATAATGTTGAAAAAGATGAATTTGCAGTAATTCTTTTCATAAGGTGCAGTCCTGGAGTAATGTAAAGTTTTGCAGGAAGTAATAGGGAGACAGTCCTTTGAAATGATTAAGCAGAACTGGATTGGTCAACAGAGCTGGTTGTGAGGTCACTGTACACAAATCTGTCATCTTTGAATGTGAGACCATGCAAGTGGCTTTTAAAGGAAAGAATGGAGGTGAAAAATTAATCAAGATTAGAAGGGATCAAGGGCTTGAAAGTAGGGGCAAGACAATTAATAGCAGATGATTGGATAAACAATATCAGGATGAATGTCAAGTTAGAGGAAACCATGAGTTAAGAGATATAAATTATGCTGATGAGGAAGAGGTAGTGAGTATTTAAATGAACTGAAATTGGATAGAAGGAGAGATGGGGATGTGATGTTGTGTGGCAGGGAAATATTAATACAGAGATGGATAAAATTGTGTGATCTTAGAAGTTGTGAGACCATACAAGGTAGAAAAGGTCAGTAGAGTAATGTAGATGGTAGAATTTTTGAGTGATCTCAATCCTGTCTCTTAAAAATCCCTCCATTCCCTGCTTCTTTAGGAAAACATCAAAATGTTTCTTGAAAGACCTGGTCTAAACTTTTTTATAACTAATTCCACTATTTTATTACCCTTTAGATGAAAAAGTGTCTGCTTCTAACTTTCAGGATTTTTAAGTTGTGTTCCTGTTTTGTGAATTTTTCATATGGCAAACAATTTGTCTTTATAAATTTCGCTAAACCTGTTCATACTCTTCAATAATGAGATAACAAGGTGTAGAGCTGGATGAACACAGCAGGCCAAGCAACATCAGAGGAGTAGGAAGGCTGACGTTTCGGGCCTAGACCCTTCTTCAGAAAATTTTCTGAAGAAA